AATTTTTATCGGTATCTCAACATTTACCCCTCTTCCATAACAGGCGTGGATTTATTACAGAATATTTTTTGAAAGGTCCATAACAGGCGTAGAATTATTAAAGAATATTTTTTCAAAGGTCCATAACAGGCGTGGATTTATTAAAGAATATTTTTTCAAAGGTCCATAACAGGCGTGGATTTATTAAAGAATATTTTTTCAAAGGTCCATAACAGGCGTGGATTTATTAATGAATATTTTTCAAGGGCCAACTGAGTCGTGGATTTATTAAAGAATATTTTTTCAAAGGTCCATAACAGGCGTGGATTTATTAAAGAATATTTTGTTCAAAGGTCCCACAAAACCAACAATTTTTATCGGTATCTCAACATTTACCCCTCTTCCCCGATTTGTTTTTCTCTTTCTAGGAACGCCCTTATGTCCTGTACACCCACAAATTATATGCTGATGGTTTGGGTTCGAATAAGCCTGTGGTGTTAACCAGCTGGCTTAGGGGTGGTCTCACCCGCCCTCACATTAATCTCTATCCAAAGAAGTTTGAAAATGGCTTTGCTGGACATCGTTTTCAGGTCATGGCTGTCAATCAACCTCCATATATTTTTCGCATTAAAACATTGGATTTCACGGGTGTAACCCAGGTCCATTGGGATGGCATTGAATATCGTCTACTACAAATGATGGGACAAAAATTAAATTTCTCCATTGATATTTTGGACAACACATATGGGGGGAGAAATGAGAGGTAGAGGGAAAAAGGCCCTTTGATACCAATATAAATATTTTATTTATTTTTCCAGACCCCTAGAACTCCTCGAATACAGTGTGGCTGAACGTTTAGTGGACATCGGTATGGCCGGCATGTACGTGTCAACGGATAAGCTAGAAAATGTTGATTTCTCTGTGGGTCACTCGAAGGATTGTGCCGCCTTTATAACATTGGCCTCAAAGGCCCTACCTAAGTACTTGGGAGATTTAATCGTTTTATAACAAAAAAGCCATTATAATTGAGTTTCCTTTTTACAGATATCGTGCCATAATGGGTCCGTTTCAATGGCCCGTTTGGGTGGCTCTTATTTGTATCTATTTGGGCGCCATCTTCCCCATCGTTTTCACAGATCGTTTAACGTTGAGCCACTTACTTGGTAATTGGGGTGAAATTGAGAATATGTTTTGGTATGTTTTCGGAATGTTTACGAATTCGTTAACATTTTCGGGAAAATACTCATGGGCCAATACACAAAAAGTCTCGACGAGGATATTAATTGGATCCTATTGGATATTTACGATAATTATTACGGCATGCTATACGGGTTCGATTATTGCCTTTGTTACCCTGCCCGCTTTTCCTGATACTGTGGATTCGGTAATGGATCTATTGGGGTTGTTCTTTAGAGTGGGAACGATTGGTAAGGGGTTTTGAGATATATATTTTATTCAATATTAACATTTCTATTCGCAGATAATGGTGGCTGGGAGTCTTGGTTTCAAAATTCCTCACATGAACCCACGGCCCGTTTATTCCAAAAAATGGAATATGTCTCCTCTGTGGAAGAGGGTATTGGCAATGTTACTCAGAGCTTCTTTTGGAATTATGCCTTTCTTGGATGCCTTGGTTGGCCCTTTGAAAAATTTTCTTTAATAAATCCACGCCTCAGTTGGCCCTTGAAAAATTTTCTTTAATAAATGCCCCTGAAAAATTTTCTTTAATAAATCCACGCCTCAGTTGGCCCTTGAAAAATTTTCTTTAATAAATCCACGCCTCAGTTGGCCCTTGAAAAATTTTCTTTAATAAATCCACGCCTCAGTTGGCCCTTGAATAATTTTCTTTAATAAATCCACGCCTCAGTTGGCCCTTGAAAAATTTTCTTTAATAAATCCACGCCTCAGTTGGCCCTGGAAAAATTTTCTTTAATAAATCCACGCCTCAGTTGGCCCTCGAAAAAAAAATTTTCTTTAATAAATCCACGCATCAGTTGGCCCTTGAAAAATATTCTTTAATAAATCCACGCCTCAGTTGGCCCTTGAAAAATATTCTTTAATATTCTTTAATAAAAATTTTCTTTAATAAATCCACGCCTTGGTGGATCCTGAATAATTTTCTTTAATAAATCCACGCCTTGGTGGATCCTGAATAATTTTCTTTAATAAATCCACGCCTTGGTGGATCCTGAATAATTTTCTTTAATAAATCCACGCCTTGGTGGATCCTGAATAATTTTCTTTAATAAATCCACGCCTTGGTGGATCCTGAATAATTTTCTTTAATAAATCCACGCCTTGGTGGATCCTGAATAATTTTCTTTAATAAATCCACGCCTTGGTGGATCCTGAATAATTTTCTTTAATAAATCCACGCCTTGGTGGATCCTGAATAATTTTCTTTAATAAATCCACGCCTTGGTGGATCCTGAATAATTTTCTTTAATAAATCCACGCCTTGGTGGATCCTGAATAATTTTCTTTAATAAATCCACGCCTTGGTGGATCCTGAATAATTTTCTTTAATAAATCCACGCCTTGGTGGATCCTGAATAATTTTCTTTAATAAATCCACGCCTTGGTGGATCCTGAATAATTTTCTTTAATAAATCTTTAATAGGATCCACCAAGGGATCCTGAATAATTTTCTTTAATAAATCCACGCCTCAGTTGGCCCTTGAAAAATTTTCTTTAATAAATCCACGCCTCAGTTGGCCCTTGAAAAATATTCTTTAATAAATCCACGCCTCAGTTGGCCCTTGAAAAATTTTCTTTAATAAATCCACGCCTCAGTTGGTCCTTGAATAATTTTCTTTAATAAATCCACGCCTCAGTTGGCCCTTGAATAATTTTCTTTAATAAATCCACGCCTCAGTTGGCCCTTGAAAAATTTTCTTTAATAAATCCACGCCTCAGTTGGCCATTGAAAAATTTTCTTTAATAAATCCACGCCTCAGTTGGCCCTTGAAAATTTTTCTTTAATAAATCCACGCCTCTGTTGGCCCTTGAAAAATTTTCTTTAATAAATCCACGCCTCAGTTGGCCCTTGAAAAATTTTCTTTAATAAATCCACGCCTCAGTTGGCCCTTGAAAAATTTTCTTTAATAAATCCACGCCTCAGTTGGCCATTGAAAAATTTTCTTTAATAAATCCACGCCTTGTTGGATCCTTGAAAACAAAGTCTTTAATAAATCCACGCCTTGTTGGATCCTTGACAAATATTCTTTAATAAATCCACGCCTCTGTTGGCACTTGAAAAATTTTCTTTAATAAATCCACGCCTCAGTTGGCCCTTTAAAAATTTTCTTTAATAAATCCACGCCTCAGTTGGCCCTTGAAAAATTTTCTTTAATAAATCCACGCCTCAGTTGGCCCTTGAAAAATTTTCTTTAATAAATCCACGCCTCAAATCCACGCCTCAGTTGGCCCTGAAAAATTTTCTTTAATAAATCCACGCCTCAGTTGGCCCTTGAAAAATTTTCTTTAATAAATCCACGCCTTCCCTGGACTGTTTTGGACATTGTTTATTTTTCTTTAATAAATCCACTCAACATTTGGCCCTTTAATAATTTTCTTTAATAAATCCACGCCTTGTTGGATCCTTGAAAATAATTTTCTTTAATAAATCCACGCCTTTTTTTTTCTTTAATAAATCCACGCCTTGGTGGATCCTTTAATAATTGTGGGTGGCATAACAAATAAATGCCGTCAGATAATAAAACGTTCACGGCAATCCATATCATCGGGTTGGTCATCTAGGCGGGAAAGTATTGTGGCAATACCAGGTCAAGATATGAAGAGGAAAGGTCATCCGCATAAATCGCGAGAAAAGAAAAGCTTTGGTTGGAGGCAATTGAATTTGACAAAAACCACACTGAAAGAACTATACGGAGATAATCATGAAGAGCTACAGAAGGGGTATAAATTTAAAGGTGGTACAACCCTTAATAAAAATTCTTATCACAATATGGAATCGGAAAGTAACTCAGATGATGCCTTGTCCCTTAAATCGACAGTAAATGAATTTATCAACAATGAACGGTCGAATCACAGCAAAACCGATATTATTGAACAAGTTGTGGATAGATTTCTGAAAGAAGAATTGGAAAATACATTGAAAAACTTTGATCAAACTTTGGCCACCTATCAGGAAGATGAAGAGGATAACAGTAATGGAGAAAATGATGACTATATAAGATCCCCAGAAAATAATGAAGAAATATTTGGTAGTTTTGTCACATCATTTCTAGATGAAAATGCAAAAATTCTAGATAATTTACAATTGTTTAAGGAACATCAAGAAAATAATGAAATACCCCCGGAGAAAGAGAAAAACCACACATTAAAATGAAATACATTTTTTTCACAATTTATTAAAAAAAAAAAAACAAAATTTGGAAAACAATTTACAAATTATAAATAAATAATTTTAATCCATGTTGTTGTATCGATGTTTCAATAATGCTTTGTTTGATTTTGACTTAGTTTATTTTTTTTTAATTTTTGGCTAATTTATAAAATTAACACAGTGCACAAGTATGTTTGCTTTACTTAATGATAGCTTAGTTTTAAAATAAGTGGATAATGGAAGTGGGATTGGTTTTATTTGGACAAGGTGATTTCAAATGTCTAATTGTGCTATTCTAAATGTACATGTATATATATATATGGTCTAAATAAATTATAATTCATCTTTAAGATGAGGAGCTTCGATTTGGGTATATGTATCATCGTCCTCCTCCTCATCATCATTGTGGCTATCGTCTTCATCATCTAAAAAAATAAAAATTAAAAAATAAAATAGAAATTAGAACAGGAAATAAAAATTAAAGCAGTAAAATAAAATAAATATATAAATAAAAATTATAAAACAAACAAAAATAATAAAAATGAAAATTAAATAGTAGAAACAAAAAAATAATGTAATTAATTAAAAATAATAATTTGAAAAAAAGAAGAATTATAAAAAATGACAAGATGCAAAATGAAAATTTCCTATATTAAAGTATTATCTATAGATATCCAAAATATATCCGCAGTCTTTCTGTAGAGTAATTTTTCAAAGGTTTGCTATAGACGACAGGAGACTTTCTAGAGGTATTTTATGGACAAAAGATTCCCAAATTTATTTTCTAGACAAAAACAAAACAGCTAGAGGCCTTCTACAGATAGAAGACCTTCCAAACACATTCAATGGACAAATGATCTAAAAGAGATCATCAAGAGTTCTTGTTATGGGAGAATGCCGACAAGGGTCTTTCCGAGTTATACATTTTGTTTCCCATAGACCTAAGAACTTCTCCTGCAAAACTTCCAATATCATCAAAAGATAGAAACGCTTCCAAGGCAGATAATATTCATAGAAGACCCTCCAAAGCAATTTTAGAGAATTAACACCTTCCAAGAGTTATCTGAAGACAAAACGAGTTCTAGGGGCATTTAAAAGACCGAAGACTTTACAAAGAACACTTCTAAAAACAGATGACACGACGACAGAGGGCATGTAAAGGCAGAGGACGTCCTAGATCTGAAGACAAACGTCATTCCTAGTGACTTTAAAAACTCAGAAGACCTTCCTAAGATCTTACGCATGGAATGGAAGTGCACTAAAGCTTTCTATAGACTAAATATAACCTCAAATAAAGATTTTCTATAGATAGACCAACTGAACACCTTTCAACGTATTCTAAAGACAAAATGTGTTATAGGGGTATTTTAAAGGCCGAAGGCTTTACAAAGAAAAAAATGAAAGCAGAAGACAAGTTGACTTCAAAAGGTAGAGACAATCTAAAGACAGAAGTCCTTTCTGGTGACTTCAAAAGCCAAAATACCTTCCCGAGATCTTATGTAGATGGAAACACACAAAAAATGTCTGCTTCAAACTTTCTACATTCTAAATGTGACCTCTAAAGGGACAGGTGATCCTCCAGAGGTCTTCAAAATACAATTCATTACGCTATGCCAAATTTCGTGCAAATAGCAAGATATTAAATCGGACGAAAATATATATATATATATATATATATCTAAATATGAACCGATTTTCAGGAAACTTACAACACATCATTATAGACCTAATTGAGTGCACTATACAACGTCAGTTTGTGAACTTCTACTCCTTCTCATAACGACTTTAACGACATTAGAGTAGAGTTTCTTAGTAGCGAATCCTGGACAAATGGCTCTCCTACCTCTGGCCGATCTGTCGATATTTACAGACGGTCGAAAATGGAGGATGGTACTGATCCAGGTGTTTACGATAGTGCAAAGAACTAGCCATCTACAACTCTTATAAACATAACGATCTTTGTATCGTTTTTCAGGCAGAAATCCTGGTAATCACGAAAACGGCTGAGATAGTCAAAACACTTACTGCCGACAACATAGGACCGGTGACTATATATGTCGATAGCCAGGCGACCCTTAAGGTACTTAAATCGTGTACTATTAGCTCAAAAGAGGTTCGTGAGTGCAAGGATGCACGTGATATACGACAAATAGTTAAATAATGTTGGGTTCCAGTAGGCCTATTCTGTAACTTTTAACAACATTCGATATTGATCACGATGGTTGTTACTACCAACCGTGCATCCCTAACCTAACCTAGAGGGTCATCTATGGATAGAACACCTACAATGACAAAAAACTGATTTTACTACAGAAGGTCATTGAGTTCTTTTATAGACATAAACGAGAGAGAAAGACAAGAAAATATGACATTCAAAATATCTAAAACCAATGGGAGCTACTAGGAGAAAATTCATAAAACCTTGAACAAAAAAATGATTTGAATTCTCAAACTACCTAATATTGGGACAACCGTTATATGATGGGCTGTACCAAAGCGGGAATCGATATTGATAATTTTCGGTAGTGAGATTAGAAAGCCAATGAGAATACAAAATACCAATTTGGTTAAAAAAATTTCAAAAATTCCGACATGGGTCAATTTAAATAATTTTCAGTGTCAATTTTAATAATAGTTGGATGTATGAAGCTACCCTCAAACTTGGGTCAATATTGATAATTTTTCTATAAAAATTTAAAATACTAAATTACAGTCAATTTGGTTAAATAACGTGTCCAAACTCCCCAAAATAATTCTTATTGGGAGGTGCTTTTATATGGGTGCTACCCGAAAAAGTGAACCGGTATTGATATTTTTTAATGTGGAGATTTGATACCCAAAATGAACCCAATGTACCAAATTATAGCGAATACGTTCGAAAACGATCTAAAAAAACCAATATACCGAACATTTGGGGCGCCGTTATGTTTTAAAATGGACCGATATAGCCCATTATAGAGCTTGGCCTACCTGCAGGTCAAGCCAAATGTTGACGATGTATCTCAATTCATTGGGGACTAGAGAGATTACAACATGTGTAAAATGTCATAGAATTTTGACGCTGATCAATAGTGTATAGGGTCGGTAATGGTTCATTCTTTAGTTACAAAAAGTAAAACAAACTTAATATACCCTCCCTCCATACTATGGTGGAGAGTATAACCAAAAAAAGCCTTGAGGTCTTTTTAAAAGAAAGTCCTTGATATATTCCATATACACCAAACTGAAAGCTGATAACAAGCGGTATATTTTCTTTAGCGAAGGGAACCATAGCGTTTCCCAACACATTTGTATAAACAATTCGATCCATTATTTCACAAAACTCGTAAAAATATCGAACTCCATAAAAAGTAAAACAGCCTAACACCATTATTGACCTCCATGCTTCTTTTCATTTTTCGACTTAAACTTTAATTTCATCACTGAGTTGGATTCCAATTAATACGAGATTTGCAGCCTTCTTCCGTGCTGAACTGTCACTACTGATATAATTGCATAAAATGAGCATATAATTGGAGAAATCACAGGTTTATTTATGGAATATTTCTCCGAAATTATTTTCTGTGATAATTTTTTTCACAATCACTGGTAATTAGTCCTTATCCATAATTTATATCATAATGAGTTTTGCATTAACGCTTTTGTTTTATTAAAGCGAATAAAGTATCCGATTTAAAAACTTAAAAAACCAACATGATATCTCTATTTCTGAAAAAGTTATGCTGCATTTATTAACCTTGCAATTTTAGTTGCTTTAGTTTTGACCACCAGTGTATATCTATTCCTAGAGGTCTTTGAAGGACGTAGAACTACTTTTCTCGAATAGGCAGCAGAAGACCTTCAAGCGGTATTCTTTAGCTATAAAAATGATTTACTCAAGGAACTCTACAGACAGAATCATGGATGTGTTTAATAAACATAAGATCTAGCAGTCATATATACCTATAACTCCCGTATGGTGCAAAACCTTCAACTGGTATTCTTCAGCAAAACCTTCAACTGGTATTATCCTATAAAAAGGAACTGTTATACAGACAGAACAGAGTATAGACGTATTTTATAGACAGAAAATCTAAAAGCCTTTTTATAATTATACACCTCCTTTACAGACAGACAAGTTTGGACTATTTTATAGACAGAAAATCTCGAAATAAAATATTTAATATTGAAATAAAAATGATATGAATGATGGAAAATTATAAAGTCTCAACATATAATCTAATAATAGCAGGCAATTGTTATATTTGTTAGTTCAATCATTAAAAAAAAAACAAAAACTAAAAAATACAAAATTAAAAAAAATAAAATTAAATGTAAACTATTCTAACTTTAAGAATTATTGATTTAAAAAATATTACTCACACTAAAAAAGGCGAAGTTATATCGCTGCCAATATATATTACGTTTATGAATTATATAAGGAACTTATAATACTGAAAAAATGCGAAAACCACAAAACGTGTCTAAAATTGTTGCAAAGGAATACCATTGATGTGTTTTTTTTTCTCATATAAAAAAGGCATTCCAAAATTGCTATTAGTTTTTGTTGTTTGTGCTCTCATTTATTCACAGAATAAATGCTGATGAACGTTTGTTGTTGTTTTGTTTCATTTTACCCAAAATTGTTTAGCAAAATTTATAAAAGAACCAAATAAATAAATTATAATGCTTAATTGTAGTTTAAAAAACATTTGTCTTTATGCGCAAAACCAATTGGATACGATGGAATGGATGTTGTTACTATTATTCCCTTTGCTTTCTTCATTTCCATTATCATCATCATTGTCTGCTTGCTTACAATGATTTCATTAGCATTTCTTCCAATTGTTTTGTATCGATTTGTGGCTTATTGGCACCGGCCGGAGCTGAACTAAGCCAATATTCCGATGCGGCTATATAAATGGCAACAGCTGCACCAACAATATAAGCGATATGCGTTGAACTTTGGAATATAACACAGGTGGCGACACACAGGCCGAAATATGTTAGAAAACGTGTTATGT